TTAACCTTACATCCAGTTTGATTTTCTACCATAATTTTCCATTCTTTAAACCTAACATACACATCAGATTTATGTTCTAACAAACAGACCCAGACTTTCCTAGAAAAGTCATCAATTATGGACAGAAAGTACCTCCTACCCCCATGGGTAGGGACATTGGAAGGACCCCATACATCTGCATGTATGTAGTCAAGGACAGTTTTAGACTTAGGCTCACTAGAATAGCTAGAAACAGGAAACTGAACCTTATGTTGTTTACCTAGGACACAACCCTCACAGAAAGGTATGGGTGACACCAATTCATTACCAAAGCATCCAGTTTGTTTCAAAATATTCAATCCTCTATTACTTATGTGACCCAGTCTTTGGTGCCAAAGCACAGACTTGTCACTGAGTACGGCATTAGCATTTTCAGAAAAAGGTTTGGCATGCACAACATAAAGGTTATTTAGTTTCAAGGCTTTAAACAAAACAAGGGAGTTTTTCAAAATCTTCATACACCAATTTCCCCATTTACCCTCAAGACCACATTCTTCAAAAACAGAAACAGAAAGCAGGTTGTGCCTAAGATCAGGGACATGTCTAACATTTTTTAATTTGAAAACAGTTCCATTTTCAAACTTAAGACTTATGTCACCCACACCATGGACCTTACACTTCTTATTGTCAGCTAGGGACACATAACCAGAATCACAAGTACTATAAGAAGCAAACAGATTTTTAAAAGGAGTCATGTGGTAGGTACAACCTGAATCTATTAGCCATTCAAATTCAGTTAGGTTGCTTAGGGCAGAATTAGCATGATCACAGATCATGAACACTTCTTCACTAATTTCCTTATCAGTCACAGAATTGGCCTGTTCATTTCTTTTGGGTTGGGTACAGTCCTTTATGAAATGATCTGGGTTCCCACAGTTATAGCACACCCTTTTCCTAGATTTATGCCTTTTCTTGCTAGGTTGTCTACCATTCTTATCCTGATTGTCCTTTTTAGGGGTTTTAGACCTGCTTTTAGACCTTCCCCTAACAAACAAAGCTTCCCCAGATTCCTTATGATGGTTCCTAGAATGTTTTAAGTCAAGTTCTTTACTTCTCAGGCCATTAATAACAATATCAAGGGTTATGTCATCCCTCCCATATTTAATGGCAGACTTAACATCATTATAGGAATCAGGTATAGCATTCAATAAGACTATGGCAGTGTAGTCATCTATATGTTTATCCCCAGCCTGCTTAATGTTTTGGATTAGTTTGTTAAAAACATCTAAGTTTTCATCAATATCTTTTGATAGGTCAAGCCTAAACCTAAAAAACTTTTCCAACAAAAACAGTTTGCCAGGAAGGGAAGTATCAGTATATAGAGACTCAAGTTTATCCCAGAGGTCTTTAGCAGACTCAATGACTCCAACCTTTCTTAGGACAGAGTCAGACAAGTTTAAATATATGGTTGAGCAGGCTATTTCATTCATTTCAACTTGTTTGGGTTTTTCCTCAGTTTCTAAGTATTGCCCAGTAATAGCTCTATAAACTTTCTGTTGTATTAACACACATTTTATCTTTTGTTTCCAAATGTCAAAATCAGTCTTACCATTAAAAGGCATCATACCATACTGGTTTGAAGCCATGATAACAGTTACAACACAACAGCAGAGATACAGGTAATAAGAGAGCTTAACCCTGATGGTTTGGGCTGCGGACTAAGTGACCACATAGTTCCGGGGCCACTGAAGTGGCTGGCAGGGAATCACTTAGCCCTAACCTCAGGTGCCCTAGCCAAACAGGGGTTAGGAAGCCACACAATTACCAGAACTCAGCCCACACAGAAGTGGAAGCAAAGTTGAAAAAGACTGACAGAGCAGAGGAAAAAACACAAAGAAAAAAAATACAGCAGAAGATAAGTAGGGCACGATACAGCAGGTTCAGAGGTTATCACACAGAGGATAAATTCAACACAGGCAAGTTCACATATATCAGTGGCCAAGTTCGACACAGATTGGACCACTCATGCACTGTATCACCAACCTAGGGTTTCTGCAGGTCTTATCTAAATAAGATCTACACATGCAACGGTTCAGAAACTGGGGATTCTAACCGGTAGTTCCTCAACCTAGGGTTTCGGAATACCCATGCATCACAGAAGCCGGTGGCACTCCGGCAGCCCAAGACTTAGGGTTTGAGTTTATACCTGAGCGGGTGTCACGGAGAGACAACCCGACTTACCTTCTCCGATGGCGCCTTCAGACGTTACCGGTGTGGGAGTTCTCCGGTGAGCTTCCGGTGTCCGAGAGAGGCAGCAACGTCCAGGCTCTGATACCACTGTTGGAAAACCGGACCGGCTCAGACCTCAATCACCACCAAGCCCAAAGGCTTGCTCACACTCACCACCAGGGATACAACTGGGGAAGACAGAAGGGCGACAGCCAACTAGCCCTCACACAAAGAACCCAGACCCCATCCCAGAGAACTCACCGGAGCTACAGATAACCCACCACACTACCAGACAAGAGTGAAGACCCCAATAGGAACCCCAAGGTCTCACCGGAGCAAAGCCGGAGCTAAAGCTCAGAGGAAACCGGCACTCTCTCACTCTAGGTCTAGGGTAACCGAACTGAAGCGTCATTTTTAGAGAGAAGGCGGAGAGGCAGAAATAGGAGGATTCCAGAAGAACCAGCCAAATATAAGGGAGGGCCACAAGGGATGGGCTGAGTTATAAGACAAAACGGGGGGATGGGCTTGGTCGGGTAGACAGCCCATTTGGGCCAGGACATTAATTAGGAGACCAACTCCATAAATGAGGTGGACCAAAAGGCAGCTCAGGGATGGCCCATAGATGAGGTGGACCAATACCACAACATATATTAGAGAATAAAAATATTGTACAATTTTCCCATATTATGGCTGATGAAGTTTCACCATAACGACTTTGTTTGGCAATTAGTTAATGATGATTTTTCAAAAATAATACTGAAATATAACTTGTTTATAAATATATGACTAAATTTACTACTCCCTATAACATAGTCATGGTCATTTAAGGGTAAAAATTGAATATAAGTTACTATCCCTAAAGTTGTTATGATAGTCATTACAACTAAGATGTCACATTTGTGTAAACATCTTTTATTTAAGTTATAAGTATGTAATTAATTTTTAACTAATTATATGCATTAGCGGTTTGAAATTAATTGTTTCTATAATCTTTTTGAGCCATTTCCATTTTACTTTAATGAATATGCATGCACATGGATACACAAACACGCCCCTTTTATACACAAGCACGCCCTTTAATGTAACTATAGAGTGGGGCGATTACTTTATTTGTTTTTCCTTGACAATTTAGAGCTTTTTTTAAATATCAAAGAATCAGCCCCATCCCCTTCAACAATTGCAAAATTTGTGTGAACATACTACTCAAATAAGAGATCCAATGAATGAATCAACAGTAAAGTTTTTCTATTAATTTGTGATATGTTCAAATGCTTCTTCAAGATTTGAGAACCAAAAGATATACTACATTGTTTTGAAATTTTCAATGGATCGATTAATTTTTAACGTTTTAACAATGATTATTATTGATTTTAATATCAAAGCGGTCGTTGTCTAGGGTTTTGCTTAGGGGGTATTCCTGCGGTGCTTCACGCATTACGGTCGGCGAAGAGTGTCTAATAGACTTAATCTAGTTGCATAGACCATGTCTAAAGGTGCAAGAGATATTGCGGCACCAGGGGTATTTGCAGAGCTTTGGAACAGACAACGAAGGGGTGAGCGTCAGGAGATTTAGCACGGGAGAGATGGAGGGAGCTTGGCAAGAGATGGCCGGCCTCGTGTGCTTCCTTGGCGCAAGACTTCATCGGCGTTTTAATGAGGCGGGATAGGTCAAGGTTGCTCGGTAGGAAACCAACCGTGCGACGGATGGGAGTAGATCCTCCTGTGCTATGGTTTGGAGTCGCGTCTTGTTCGTGTCAACAATCATAGCGATGGTCCGGCCTCCTCCTGAACCACCACCAAGGGTTGAACGAGGTGTAGGGTTCAAGAAATTTATTTTTTAGCCGTGTTGGTTTTTTATGGTGTTCAATACTATGTTTATTTTTCAGTTTTTTATTGTTTTGTATTGCAAGACTGTGAGCTTGGATTTGGGTGACAGGAGGTCTGCGTTAACCGTCTTTGGCTCAGTTGCGCTCATTAATGGATCAACGAGTTATATTGCTTCTTTAGAGGTGATTAACTCTGAGTCTGATTCGAGGATCGGTGGTTGCGAGCGGTCTTTTTATCTTTTTAGCCCATATCTGCATGTTGTGATATCAATATAAGTCACTTTCCATTAAAAAAACAATGATTACTATTGGGACCGGCGCTGGCACATGCGACATGTAGATCTACTCTCTGCAGGCTATCTAACAATGGGCGAATCTAGGGTTGGACTTGGGTCGGGCCACCCGGCTCGTGGACCGGCCCGGTTCTCGGGTCCGGGTCGGGCCTAGGGAGTACATTTCACCCCTCAAAAGACCACATTTACAGCAATTTAGACAATTCAGGGGTAACATTTACAAACTGGAGAATCCGAGTCTGACATTTCAATATAGTGACTATTTCAAGGACTAAAAGTGCAATTTTCCCATTAAAAAAATATTTTTCCTTATTCATATCATTCTTTACATATTTGAATTTGATCAAACTATAAAAAAAACAACTTTTGTAAGTTTTGTTCAATGCAAAAATGACATTTAAATGGAAAAACTTTTTTTTTATTTAGTTTCACATACATATACATCATCTTATTTTTCTCACAATACTTGCTTCCGTCTAACAAAGAAGTCACAAGTTAAACTAATGACTTATTCTAACGCTTAAGAACATGTATTTTAGACCTCCTCAGATTTGAGGATTAAAAAAATTTAAACGAGAAGTAATATAAAAAGTGTATGAAGGCTTGCATGTTGTTGTTGTTGTATTCAGAGGAAGGCTAATTCTATATTTTGAAGTGTACAATTATACACCGGAGATGGTATTTGAAGTTTTATATAAATAGAAGTGATAACATAAAATATGGCCATATAACATTTCGAGTCATCTTTTAACATTATATATACATACATCAAGATATAAACTAAACCAAGTAAACTCATCAAACATTCCCTCCAAAACTCCTCCGTCCAAACTGGCCCTTAGGAAACTACTTTAAGGTAATTACCAAAGCTTATATCTGCCTTGGATGGAACAGAATGCCTCCTTAGTCCACCAGAGGATCCGGAGAAAGACAGACGTTTACTTACAGATCCTATTAATGTTCCCTTCTCAGAATATGACAAGTGACTAGGAAAACGTGATCTTGCCTTTGCTGATTCAGTTAGAGTCATATAACCGGGAATTGCGGGCAAACTGGTAAGGCTAATGTCATCTCTCATTGATGATGACCCTGCAATACTATACCTTGGACAACGTTCTGATTGAGCACTCCCCATGCTTCTCCAATCGTCATCCGCATAGCTTGTCCTCGGGCTTTGAGGCCTCATTCTTTTGGACTTAGTGGTGGGTGTAGAAGGCCATTGTAAGCCATGACGTGAGCGGTGTTCTTTGTTTGGTCTATGTAATGGAGTTGAAGCATCTGTTAGCTCAGTACAGGAAGAGCTTTTGCTCTCCTGCGGCCGGGCAGCCATCCACCGCTCAAACAAACTCCAACCCCAATGGGGATTATTCGGGTCCATGATCGTTTGGTTCATGGATCTCGGGGAGTTCCTTAGTTTCTGCCATTGTAAGAAGAAGTTTGATCAATCATAGAATCCGTGACAAGATCATTCAACTTAGGGGTAGACCTGGTCCTCATTCTGATACCGGGCAGATCGGCCTTTTGCCCATAGACCGAACTGGTACTTGAGATCAGTCCAAACCAGTTCCCCACAACAGGATTGGACTGGAACCGGAACCGTCGCGGTTTCGGTTCCAATTCCAGTGTTCCCCCCTTTACGTGACTAGGAATCAATTATTCTAGAACCAGATTCACCCCTATTTGAATTGGGTCATAATGCATATGGTTCAAATGGTCAAAATCCTTTCATTCCTTTGTTTAGTTTTAAAATTAGAAAAGACTGTTTGAAAGAGGTGGAGAAGAGACAAAGAGGAGACACATAGGTAAATTTTGTATCTTGTTTGGTTAGAGTGAAATGGATAAGAATAAGTTAAAATAGCGAATTTTTTCCTTTCTTAGTCCTGCGTCTACTATGCGAGTGACACTTTTGGTATTCGACTTTGAGCTTCTCCATATTTTAATCCAGTGACACTATTGTGAGAGAGACACACTTTTGATACACGTCTTTAAAACTTACACATTTAGGCCTTTGACTTTTATTAAAAGTGTCATTTTTAGTCATTCCACAATAATTTTCTCACAATAGTCAGAGGAGGATTCAACATGGAAGCATTCAAAGTTGAGGATGATGTGCCTCTCTCACCATAAGGAATAAAAAGTGAAAAAACTCAAAGTCGAGTACCAGAAGTGTCACCGACACAATAATAAGCGGGCTAAAAGTAGCAAAAACTCCTAGAATGATACTCCTTTCTCTAAAAGTTTTATTTCTGTCACTTGCAGTTCTTTCCTCTACACCAATTGCCTACTAAACAAAGGCTAAAATTTGAATTGATTGATTGGCTAACTCAAAATCTTACAAACGCATGTATTCCTTTTTAGTATTCATACGTGAGACTCTTCAAAAGCTTTTCACAACAAACAGAGAAATCTGTAAAGAAAGGCATATATACCTGATGAGTATAAGCATAAGCCAATGCCCTTTCCCTACGCTTGGTAGCATCGTGTTTATTCTGCATATTTGCTTCAATCTGCTCTTTAGACTGTGTACTGACATTCCAATATTCACTGCATTGCTGCAAATTAAACAACAAACTTTAGCTGGTTTGGTTTACACTTTCAAATAACTCAAATACCACTAAAAATGATTTCACCACTCACAAGTACTCTTAATTTCTCAATATCGTTCTCGTGCCTCTTTTGCTGGAGCTGTCTTTGGAGAGCATGTTCTTCCTCCTCCCACATTTTTAATCTTCGAGAACGAACTTCAGACTGCACACGAGCTATTGTTTGCACACACTTTAAGGTTGAGGCGACTTGCCGCTTCACACATTGCCCGTGAAGCATTGTTTTCAACCTCACTAAACCTTTCAGACCTCGCAATGCTCTCCTAGCCTTCACAATAGGGAACCAAATTGAATGATGTGATCTTTCTTACTTTTTTTTTTGAGAGTGATGTGATCTTTCTTACTATTCTTATTAATATCAGGAATGTTATATGTAATAAGTGATTTTCCTCTTCCCTACGATATTGTTATTCTCTTTCGTTTTCGATTCACTTCTCTATCATATAGGCTTATGTATCCTACATAAATTTCAGAGTACTCTATATTATCAGCAGAATAAAAGTAATTGTTCATTCCATTATATAATTACTTCTACAATCTCAACTACAATTTTAAGTAGAATAAATTGAGGAGAAAGATGTTGCATAGGAAATGTTAGACCATGTATCCACGAAAAGCGGTTTGTATTTTGATAGCAGCTATCTCTTCTTTTGATTTACCCAAGTAACGGGCTGCAGCTGTGAGTCGAACAACCTCTGCAGCCGCCTGAGCGGCTGCAACGGCTGCTTCGGCAGCTGCGGCGGTGGCTATAGCTACCGAGTAAGCATGTTTGTTCTGTTCATTCTTCGCTTCCATCAATTTCACTTGGTCGGTAGGGGGAATGGTTACATGGCTTTCCAAATCTGCCCTCTTTTCTTTCCCAAACCATTTTGATTTATGAACAACCTAGTAATAACAGTTATTGAAACATGTTAATAATAAGGTTGAGCCCAACTCAACAAAAAAGAGCTATTAAGAGGGCATATTCATTCTGAACACAATGCATTAGGTCCGTTTGGAATGCGGAAATGCTACAAAAAAGTAGAGAGAAAATAGAAGATATTTTGGAAGGAAACAAAATGTTGATAAAAGTAAAACATTCTGATAAACTCATAAAATTGTTTCAAACAATTATTTGAATTCATTTCATTTATTAATTTCTATACTATAGTAGTAAACAATCTAATCATATGCAAACAAAATACAAAAACATTTCATTTTCTTTTACATTTTCTAAGGTAAACCCAAATATCTCAGAATAATTTTCTTTAGCATTTTCGTTCCTTTTTATAGCATTTTCCAGGATCCAAACATAGACTTAAAGATCAGAGGAAATTAGGGTCAATGTGGACCTTATCTTTCTTCTTAGTTTCTGAACTCAAAGCTTTCTTCAAAGCAGAAAGCCAGCTTGATTTCCTCCCCATTCCTGTAAAGACAGAGTGACAGAAAGAGAGAGGGGATAAGAGGGACTGTTTGGTGAGGGTTATTTGGCTGAAAGGACCTAACTCGCTGAATGTAATGTCCAGCAAGAATACACATTTGGTAACATATTTTAGCCAAATAAGTAAATCAAGACAGGCTGCATTAATACATTGCTTGAAGAGCAAATGAGAGAGATGGGAATTACACTGATTTCGATACAGAAAATTACACACAGGCTAGAAAAAGATAAACTTTCCAAGATTTCTCTATTTCAGCATTGAAATGAAGGAATTTAAAAACCCACAAGGCAAAATTCCCATATTCTCACAAAAAGATGGCACCTTTATGCATTTATCAAGGTTTTCTTATCACACCGCAATAAATAATTAAGAACCCACTAAGCGTTATAAGAAACAGTTAGAATTAAAGAAGGTAAGATAATGTGTACCTGAAACTGAAACAAAAGTATAATCTTTGTTCAATCTCTATCATTAAAGATTTCTGTGAGCAAGAAGATTGTGAAGTGGATGGGGTTTGCGGGGTGGGGGTGGGGGTCGGACCACTGACGTGGCAAATTTGGGATGCTTGGAAGTGGTTGGAACTTGAAGACAAGAATAACGAACAGGGGTATTTTCGGAAGTTTTGAGTCAGCTCTAGAATAAAAGCTTCTGACATGGCGTTGCTGTTCGCGCTCCGATGAGGAAACGCGGGGCCCATAACCGGACAACTAACCAACCTGCTTTCGTTATCCCGTTTTTAAAAGTCCAAACGCACCTCAAAGCTTGAAATTCCGCTAATTTCCGACAGTCCACAGACTTAAAATATCAAGAAAGCCTAGACATTTTTATACACACTTTTGTACACACTTATGTTTGTGAAAGGTTTTTTTTTGTTTATCAACATCGACTCAAAGACAATGTTTTGCACAAACGAAATATTTTGCAAAAAAAAAACTTCACAAACATTGTGTGTATAAAGTGTGAACAAAGGCGTGTACATTTTTTGTTAAAATATTTTTCACTACTTTTTTTCCTTTAATTTTTTTTGGATGTATAAGTAATTAATTTGAACCATAAAATAAATTTACACATGACGAAGCAACGCATGACACATTTATTTTCAAACGCCAGTTGTTTGGACAAATGTACTACGGAGTAATAAATGCTGTCAACAAAAAATATTTCATAACTTAAGTGTGAAAATAATAAATTTTCACTTTAAGTTTTTTAAAGTGATAAGGGCATCTCCTTACATTGCACTTCCACATCATCAAAATGGAAGTATCATCTCCAAATGCAAAATAAAATATTCTCTTTGTTCCATAAAATTCTTCTTACTCACCAATTTGAGATGTCCCAAAAAGTTTTTCTCATTTCATTTTTTAGAAAGTTTTGTGTTGTTAACATTGATTTACTTTTTCTTACTCAACCATAATCACACGTTTCCGTTTTATTCAGTCAAACCGAGAAAAATCTTATGAGAAAGAATGAGTAGATGTAGTGCAACTCAGGATGTTTTTATTTGGATTGTAATTTGCTGGTCTGGTCTGGTCTGGTCTGAACTGGTCTGGTCTGGTCTGATTTGATCTGGTTTCTTTGTATTTATATAACTATCCAAATCTGGTCTGGTCTGGTCTGGTCTGGTCTGAACTTGTCTGGTCTGGTCTGGTCTGGTCTGGTCTGGTCTGGTCTGGGACAAATTACAATCCAAGTAAAAACATCCTCGGTTGGCAATTAAAAAATGGATGAAGGACCAGGATATGGTTCATAATGGGATTTTCGATGCCACCTTCTAAGTTCTAACAGAGTTAAAAGGAAAATTTGTGGGTCTTTATGCATCCGCAGCCAGCCATTTTAGCTGTATAAAGCTTTTTTCTTTTTATTACTTTTTCTTTTCTTGTTTTGTTTAGCTGCATTGGAGTATTGTCTCCATAGACCCTCCTATTCTCTAACAAAAAATCTTGATTTACATGCTCTCATACACACCGGTACATCTCTGTGTTTGTGAGAGGTTTTTTTATCTGTGATTCCCAGTTCATAGACAAAACCGACTTGTTTTGTCTGTGGAAAATTCTACAGACAAAACAAGTAAGTTTTTGTCTGGCGATTGGGATTCACACACAAAAAAAACTCTTACAGACACACATGTGTAATGATGTATATAAGAAGGAGTACAAAAGCAATTTTTGATTCTCCAAATATGTGACCCACATATCAAATAGATCCCCTCATTCATTTATCATCTTAGCATCAATGCATTAGAAGATGCTCTGAGATGTTTCATTATCTCATAAAAATTGGCCAAAAGTGAAAGTATAACAAGTAAAAATCATCTTATTGTGATTTAGTAAGAAGAAAGAATTAACATTTACCATAACTTATTACTTTAAAAGAAAATGTCAAAATCATTTGGGAAGTCACATACTCACATATGTTAATAAAATAACCTTCCCTTTTTTATTTTCCTTTAAATATTTTATGTGGAGGTTTCGAATGGGAAAGAAAAATAAGTGTAAATATTACTCCGTAATACTCACCTCACTTATGTGTATGAACCACTTTAAATGCTCGTATTCTCAGTCTGAAAAGGTATGTTCCTATCCAGTTCTAGGTAAGAGTAGGGGAGGGCCTTACAAACAAGGTAAACCAATTTCCATTCCAGTTGAACTAGTCCGATTCTAGTTATTTATCCTATTAAATTAATAAGAATAATCCCAATTTTCATTTCTGGTCTTCTCATAGTAATCTCAGAATAATCTCACATTTACACCCCATCTTCTTTCGTTGGAGCATGACTTGTTGATGACATACTATACCAAGTTTTTGCCTTTTTCGAAAACCTTATATCAATGATCTTCGGATCAAAACGGTCCCACGTTTCATTATTTCCTTTTTCTCCTTAAAATTTTTCTTTCTTTATTTTCATCTCTAGACACTTTTTATTCCTTTTTTATCCTTTTGTTCTTATTATTTTCCATTTTTCTTACTCTATTATGAGATTATTATCCTTTTTGTAAAATTTCTCTTCAAAATAGCTCTTTTTTTGTCGTTTTCTTTTTCTTTCCGTATTTCATTTCATTTCCCTTTTTATGATTTTCTTCTCAATTATTCTCTTCTTATTAAAGATCTTTTTCTCACTTTACTTTTTGTTATGTTTCCTTTTTATTTTCGCTTTTCCACTTTTATATTTTCATTTTTAAAATAAGATCTTTAATAAGAAAAGAATGTTTAAGAAGAAAAACATTAAAAGGGAAATGAAATAAAAATACAGAAAGAAAAAGAAAACTACAAAAAAGAGCTATTTTTGATGAGAAATTTTACGAACAAAATCTCTCCTAATAGAGTGAGAAATAGAATAATAAAATTGGAAAAGAAATACGAACAAAATGATAGAAAGAAAATTTTTAGGGAGAAAAAAGAAAAAATTAAACATGAGACTGTCTAGAACAGATTTGTGAAATGTGAGATTGTTTATATAAGATTTCCAAAGAAAAGGTATAACATGGTATATTGCAATTCCATGCAATTCATCAACATGTCAAGATACATCGAGAGAAATGGGGTGCAAAGGTGGAATTATTATGAGATTACGTAAATATGAGATTATTATGAGAAGACCGATGAAAGGTGAGATTATTCTTGTCAATTTTTTCTTTTTTTAAAACAAAACCAATCAGTCCTGGGCTTGTTTTGTAATACTGGACTGATTTCGCGTACCAGTTCTAGTCCAGAACCAGAAAACCAGCATCTGTTCGGTTGATTTATCCGTCCAGTTCCAGAACCGGGTCCACCGTTATCATGATATTGAGCGAGGATTTTGGGGCAGGAAATATTAAGTCGAACAAATTAAGATATTAAGAGCAGACAAGTTCCCCACTCTAATTATTGCCAAGGTGAGTTCAAAGTTCAAACTCCCTTGCCACTGAAAGCAGACTTTCCAAAAAATAACATCTCAACAAAGTTGTGGATGATGGGGTTTCCTCTTATTGCAGTTTTACATAGGATGGATTATTGTTATCAAATGTAAACATATAGATCTTCAGTCCTTATTAGACTAAACATAAATTTACTCTAAAGGTGCAGAGAAGCCCTAATGAAATGTACATAAATCAGGGATTCAAATTTCTCAGACAATGTCCTAAAACCATCCATGAATTCATTGAGGTGGCGGTGTTGTTTCACCAACTTTAACCTGCTTCAATGACGCTGAGTCCAAACCTTTTACCGGTGAGTCACTTCCCTCGCGACCTCTTTCTTGAGGGGCTGGTTCCGCTTTCAGGCCCGAAATGCAGGCATTAATTCCATGCAATTCATCACTGGGGTTGGTATTGTCTGGCAATTGGAGTTGCTTGCCTCCGGTTGATAAAGGAGAGTGTGTGGGTTCATCAGATATGATGGGCGCCGGTGTTTTTACTTCTTCCCCCATATTCCTCGTCTTTTCAAACATCATCTGAAGGTACCTCCCTTGCTCTTCAATCCTCAACTGCAATTTCCTTTGTATCTGGGAGGGTGGGGTGGGGGAGATAGATATTTTACCCCATTATTAGTATGATATATCCATGCACAATGTTAAGCAAGCAAAAATCAAATGACAATATCTATATCCAACATTTCCGAAAGGAAAAAATGTTAAAGGGCCACCATGATGTACCTTATGAGTTGTACACTCAGTTTGTTAAATTGTCAATGTACCCTTACATGGAGAGAAAATATGGTTGGACTGGAAAATTTATATAAATTCTTTTACACATAAACAAAGGTTTTTACCAAATTTGAGGTGTGCAGGGGCCTGAGTTGGCCCTCCTCCCCTTTCCTACACCCATGCCCTTGCATTGATGAGTAATTATTTGATAAACGTCAGATTGAAAAAATAGTGCAGAAGTTTTTTTTAAGTTACTTTTAGCTAATGATTAAAATGAAAATAAATCATAAACGAGTGTCCTACCCTCATGTTCCAGATATTATTTTCATTTAATTTATGAACAAGACATATATTATTCAGCCTGTACAGCCATTTTACCCACGCTGCAGCCAAGTGATATCATCTGCCCATTACAAGCGAGATTTTACGAACAAGCAGATCATAATAAGAAACCAAAATTTATTTGTGGTATAAAAAAGCAAATACATTTCAGTCAACAAATATGAGAAACCCCATGGGTTACTTGACACTATACATACCTCTAGTTGTTCATGAAGCTGCTTCTGAACTTCCATCTGCATCCGTAGTGCTTCTGTTATACCCATACTCCTGTTAAGACCCAACTTTTATCTTTAACTCAACATTAAAGAATTAATCATCGAGAATTTATAGAGGCAATAGAATTATAGGATATGAGAGAGCAAGAGACACTTACGTTTTCATGCCTGTAGATGTGGCCTCTAGGATATTATCTTCTGAGGTTCCTACAAAAATGCCATGTGCAGCTTCTGGATGAGTATGTTTAGAAAGAAATGTGCTCTACAAAGATACTACTAAAACTTAAAGTTCCATACAGAAAGGTATATGAATAGTCCTAAAACTTATGTATTGGTTTATACCACCCCCCCCCCCCCCCCCCCCCCCGTCCCAAAATTTCTGCCGAGTCCAATCGAGCACGGAACTTAAGAAAATGAAATTGTGTAACTGAGATTTGTTCTAAATTTATAAAAGAGAAATATTGTGAACCACATGTTGCTCTCCTCCAAAGAAATGTGAAACAAATTTGGGATGGACAAAAAAGGTAACTACATAACTCACGGACAAATAGAGTACAAATTTTGGTCCCTCAATTATTTTAGCATAGGC